TTGTAGTTCGTGGTTCTCAGTGTTCTGATGTAGTTCCATCAATGAATCGACAAACGTAGAATCTGGATCTTTTTCCAGTTGCTGTAAATGCGGTTCGAGTACATCTCTATCAACCACCAGTTTTAGTACCCTCATTGCCTCAGCGAATTCATTCCAAACCGTTCACTCGTTCGATCGCTTGTAAACCATACATTTGCCATCGTTCGTTTTCGTTCATCACGAGGCAGTCATGTTGTCTTTGACTAGGATGACCGACTTGACAACCATTACAGGATTTGTTTGTGTGATGTTACTCTGAGTGTATATCCACACCAGGCAGGCTTGAAAAATATGCCTGGCCACGGCGGGATTCGAACCTACGACCTTTGGAACACTAGCCCAATGCTCTTCCAAACTGAGCTACGCGGTCAGGAGGGTTCGAGTATGCGATATTTCGGAACTGAGTCTAGTTCCTTCGATATCAGTGTAATCTAATAATCATAAAATCTGCTGTGCTGGTGTAATGTACTCAGGTGAATAAGATGTTTGTGTGATGTTACTCTGAGTGTATATCCACACCGGGCAGGCTTGAAAAATATGCCTGGCCACGGCGGGATTCGAACCTACGACCTTTGGAACACTAGCCCAATGCTCTTCCAAACTGAGCTACTGTTCCAAAGGTCGTAGGTTCGAATCCCTCCGTGGCCAGGTGTTCCAAAAATTCGAATCCCGCCGTGGCCAGGTGTTCCAAAGGTTCGAATCCCCCCGGGCCCCGCGCAACCTCTCGGCGGTGACGTAGAAAGGTAATTAAAGTTAGGGAGGCCGAAACCTAGGAGGAATCCGGGCCGGGGACATGCTCTCCATACCGCATTTTCTGGGGGTGAAATCGAATTGGTGGAACTTGGACAACAACCGTTTATAGGGGCGGGTTGTATAAAAAAATAGTTAGAGTTAACTTCAAGAAGTTAAATAGTAGTTTAAAAGTAGTTAAGAGTTTCAAAGGACCAGCACCAGATAATATGCATTTAAAAAATATTTAAAAATTTTGAGTATTTAAAAAATACATTAAAATGTTTATATTAGAATATATTTGTAGAAAGAAACATTTGCACAATGTATAATAGTTGATGGCTGTATGAATATTTACAAAACTGGATTTTATACAATATAAACAATTATATGTACACAATTAATATTTATTATCTCATTTAACCAATAATTTGACGCAATTTGGAATTTAACTCTCTTTCTTTCAATAAAAGTTTCTCGGTATGGGTTTTGTACGCCTCGAATTCCTATAGAGAAACAAAAGTAACTAAGCGCATGTTACACAAGATAATTTTTCTGCAACTTGCAAGGCATTTAACTGACACAGAGTAATGTTGTCTTTTCTTGCATTAATTGCATAACATATTTTTATATCCTCCTTTATTCAACTTTTATAACATATATTTACTCTGCTATATTATACATGTATGCTTGCTCTCTGGCTTAGCGTCTCCTAATCTAATGTCTCGTGACTTAATCTTATATGTTAATCACTTATAGCTGACCAATCAGCATTAGGATACAACATCCCTTCCTTAATTATAGTTATAATAATATCAACCTTTAAAGTTTCTAATAGTCTCTAATTCTATGTAGTTCTTTACTTCCTTACTTTGTAGTTCCGTTCTAAGACTTAGTGTCTTGGAATTACTATTACGGGGTTCCATTACCGTGTTCTTAAAACTAAATAAATGTCAACAGTCTGCATTTTAAACCTGACTAACTTAATTAACTTACTTTTAGATAGTCTGGTTGTTTTCTATTTCTCCGCGTTGATCTACGTAGAACAATTTCCGCTTCTGTAGTACTCTGGTTGGTTTCTGTTTGAGTTGCTTCGGTGTTTTCTTCGCGAATTTCCGTTTGTCTGTCATGCTTGCGATCACTCTGGATTTCTTCTTCAGCATCAGGAATTTCCTGGTATAACTTAACATGCGATGAGTTTCTGCGATGTTGTGTGTCATTCTTGTCTTTTAACACTATATCTGCGTGCCGTTTATTTTGGTGATTACTATTGGATCAGGATGAAACTTTGACGTAAATTTGTTTCGATGTTTTTGAGTAACTAGTACTTTATTTTCGACTTAAAGATTTCTTGGACTTGCTTTTCGCTTCTTGTCGGTATATTTCTTCGATTTCTCTTTCTCCTCTTCATCTTTCTTGCGAGTTTCAGTTTCATCGTTTGTCTGTTGTTCAAAACTAGGAAGTTTCGTCTTGACTTCTCGGTTCATTAGCAATGAGAAGGTGTTCTTCCGGTCATTCTATGAGGAGTATTGCGGTAGTGGAGTAGCATGAATGGAATGGTGGGTTTCCACTCTTTTCCTTCCGCCTGTGCGGTTAGGATGTGTTTCTCGAGAACTTGATTAAATCTCTCAACTTGCCCATTGGCTTGTGGCCAATATTCCGTCACCGTCTTATGTTCTATTCCCCAAGAAGTTAATGTATCCTTGAACTCGGTAGAAACAAAGTAGGATGCGTTGTCGGACTTTATTTTATCGGGAAATCCGTGCGTTGCGAATACCGATAGTAACCAGTCGAGAATGTTTTTGGACGTGACTGATTTTAAGATTTTGACTTCTGGCCAGCGTGAATAATAGTCAGTAAGGACAACTACTTGTTCTCCAGTGGTAAATGGTCCACATACATCTATGGCTAGCTTCGACCATAGTTTCTTAGGAAGCTTGGTATGGTTGGTTCCATTGGCTCTGGTCGCGGGCTCTTACTGACCAGTTGACATGGATGACAGCATAGAATTCGTTCTTCAACCTGCTTGTCCATCTCTGGCCACCAAAGCTTGGCGTTGTTTGGAGCGCAGGCGTTGTTTGCAGCGGACCATACCTGCATGATCCTCGTGTGCAAGGCTAATTGCTTGTTGTCTCAGCTTGTTAGGAAGAACAATGCGATCAGCCCGAAGTAAGATATCTTGATCTGTGATGCAGAGCTCTTGAGCGATGAGCTTATATGCTTTCGGAAGTTTGTATACTTGATTATTTTGCAAGTTCTGTTTAATCTGCTGGAGTTGCGGATATGCTAATGTTTCTCTTTGTATTTCTTCTAATTTCATGGCGAACGAACACTTTGGTAGTTTCAGTGTGATGCCATTGGTTCTCAGGATTGTGAGGAGCTGGTCTAGCCGCTTGAGGTGTATTTCTCTGTTTTTGGACCATAGCCAAATGTTATCAGAGATGTTGGCACAATCTGGTACATCTTTGATGAGCTCGTGGCTAATCTCACGAAAGTGTTCTCCGGATGGTGATGCTCCCATTATCAGCCTGGTGAATCTATGCGGACCATCTTCAGGAGTTGAAAATGCTGTAATATGACGGGATTCCTCTGCCAATGTCAGTTGAAGATAATCTTGCGACAGGTCAACCTCTGTAAAGACTTTTGCTCCCTCCATTTTTTGAAGTATCTCGTTGACTGTGTTAGGTATGCGCATGTCTAACACTAGTCGGAGGTCCCCACTCTTCTTTGGGATGGCTATCAACGGTGATAACCAGGCGTTGCTCCCCCCAACTTTTTCGATTATCTCTTCTTCTCTCATCTCCTGCAGCTTTTTGTTTACTTTGGTTTTCATGCTGTGTGGAATTTTCCGATTTGTTTGTGTGACCGGGGTTATTGTTGGGTCAATTTCGAGCTTCACTTCACGTCCCTTGAGGTTTCCCGTTCCTTCAAATAGCTTTGGATGTTTGTTGATAATGCGACGTACATCATGATCTTGTTGAACCGGGTTGAGGGTGTTGATGTTGAAGATGATAAGTCCCAATGAGGAAGATGAGTCATATCCAAGAATACACTTAGATTTCTTCTGTGCTACATAAAACGTAGCAGTTTTGAATGTACCTGATGCTGAGGTGATGAAATTCTCCGGCTAACTCGAGTGGTGTTGATTCTGGCATTGGTCTTTTGTAACTTGATACGGTTGTTGTCTTTCTGAATTTGTTGAAAAATTGGGTAGTTCAGAAGGTTAACAGAGGCTCCGGAATCAATCAGAATGTTTATTTTAGTGTGTCCGATCTGTACTTGCGTTTCTGGATGTTTACCCGAGCTTGTGTTGACAGTAAAAAGAAATTCATCGTCCGAGTCTTGAAGATAATCAGAACTTTTCTCTTGGTTGACTTGTCTGACACTTCCACTGTCCTTAGATTGAGATCTGCAATATTTTGCAAAATGACCGATTTTCTTGCAGTTGTGGCAAGGTTTACCTCGAGCTGGGCAAAACTCTGTTCCGTCTTTGTGCGGGAATTTACCTCCACAGTTACGACAGGTTTGGGACTTTCGACCGCCATCTGGAGCTTCTTTCTGGTATTTATTTATTATTTTTTTTTTTTTTTTTGGATACGTGACGCGCTGTTGCGCGAGGGCGCGAGCTTGAGCGCTCCACGTTTAAAGGCAAAATTTTACCGCTGCCTTTGAGAAATTTGCCATAAATATTTGTTGGATATTATATTAAAGACAAATCTAAGCATAAAGGATTTGTGAAGTTTGTACAGAATTGTCTGGATTTTTGAGGCGAAAATTTGTTTCGTGGCCACGATTTGTGACTGCCAGTTTGGAAATTCAGTTGAGACCGTTAAGAAATCCCGCAAGCATACGGCGCACGTGATTTCACATACGTCAGTGGCGAAGAATCGATCAAATTATTGAAATTAATATTAGAACATTCAATTAAAGCTAATCTAACATTACTGATCGGAAATTGAACGTTTCTGGAATTCTTTAAACCCATATATTAGCAACTGTTTTGCGTGCGTCTGGAACATTTATTCAACTTAACAAATAAAGAGTCATAATCTAGCAATTATGTACATGGACACCATGCAGAAACTACGCAAAGAAAGACATTCGACGATTCAAAAACCTTTATTTATTATCGCCATTCTCTGGTTGTTGTTTCTAAGCGTCAAACAATCATCACGCAACCACACGGACTCAGGATCCACGTTAATTATAAGTCCAGAACTGGTAATTTTGCCCAACAGACTGTGCTCGATTTGGTTTACAACTCAAGATAAAAAGTCGAGAAAATTTAACTTACCAGATGATAGCTATCGATACGGTCTTTGTTTCCAAATCGCAAAGATTACGAGTCATACGTTTATGTTGATCTTACTAGCTGGTGATATTGCAACAAATCCTGGCCCTCCACAAGCTTCTAATGGTTACAATATTCAGTGTCTTTACCTGAATGCGAGAAGTTTGATAAATAAAACCAATGAACTTCAGACACTGGCAATTGATATTGACCTCTTAGCGATGACATAAACCTGGCTTAAACCCGAGAACCTGGATAGCGAAATTCTTCCTGGCAACGATTTTAATATCCATCGGCGAGACAGGACTGACAGAACTGATGGCGGTGGTTTACTAGCTGTGCGTGAGAACATTCTGAGCATGAGACGACAAGACCTCGAAAGCAGCGCTGAAATGTTGGTATGCGAACTTCGTCCCGAATCGAAGAAGAAGATCGCAGTGATTGTTTTCTACAGACCACCAGACTCGGATTTAAAGTACATCAAGGAATTAAAAAAATCTTTTCAGCTCATTCAAAGACGGAGTAAGTTTGATCAAATTATAGTTTGCGGCGACTTCAACTTACCAAATATTGACTGGACCACTGGAGTATCGGCTAACAACAATACCATTTATCAACACTTTACGAAAACTGTGAAAGATCATTATTTGTGGCAATTAGTTGACTTTCCTACCCGAGGTGAGAACACACTTGATCTAATTCTTACTAATATACCGAACAAAATTCAGAATGTGACAGGGTTTGATGACGTCTTAACTACAGATCATAAGCTCATAAGCTTTGAAATCAACTTGAAAATACAAAGTAAACCAAGAGTTGAGCGTTTCGTTTACAATTTTGCAAAATCTGATTGGTCCAATCTTAAAGTATTACTTGCAAACACTCTTTGGAATTTATGCTTTGTTCCCGGTAACATTGATGAGACACTTTCGAACTGGTGTGGCATGTTCCTTTCAACCGTAGATAAACACATACCAAAATATTGCATCAACAGTGTGCATGACCACCCGTGGATAGATAAGGAACTACTCAGGCAAATTAAGAAGAAAAACATACAAAGAAGAAAGCATGAAAAGTTTCCAAGCTCAGCTAACTTAGATAAATACAAAAACTTAAGGCGTTTAACAAAGCAACTGATCAATAAGAAAAAGAAACAATACAACATCAAGCTTACAGAGTCCTTGTATGAGAATCCCCGCAAAGTACAAAGTACTGCATCATCTTCTTTTGCGAAAGCTTGAGACTTTGGGAATCAGGGGATCTCTATTATCTTGGTTCCAAAGCTACCTCACAGATAGACAACAAACAGTCGTTCTTCACGGCGTTTGCTCTGAATGGCTTCCCGTAACATCAGGTGTGCCACATGGTTCTATACTCGGACCCTTGCTATTCCTTGTTTACTGCAACAACATTCCAACCTACATCGAAAATAATTCCACACTTGCGTTATTTGCGGACGATTCAAAGCTTTACCGACCACTTTTGTTTCCCACATATTCTACTTTACTTCAACTTGATCTTTCCAATATAACAAACTGGACTGCTGATAATCAAATGGAACTAAAGTACTAAACGCAACAAAATGTAAGACCATGCACTTCTCAAGAAAAAGAGCACCTACGCAAAATCAGTATTCAATCAATGAGAACATACTCGAACAAGTGTCGACCTTCAAGGACCTTGGTGTGCTTATATCCAACAACTTATCCTGGTCGAAACACATAGAAAGCATTGTATCCAAGGCTAATAAAACACTTGGTCTCATCAAAAGGATTTGTAAAGAAGTGAAGAATACCAACACAAGAAGAATTCTGTATTGTGCGCTGGTAAGACCCAAGCTAGAATACGCAAGCAGCGTGTGGTCGCCTTACACCATTAAGCATTGTTTGCTCATTGAGAATGTTCAACGGCGGGCCACAAAATTCATCTTGAATTGTCCTGACAACATGTCGTACGTGGACCGGTTGCAGAAAACAAATCTTCTACCACTGGAATTCCGAAGAGAACTTTCTGATCTGATACTGCTGTTCAAATCCAAACACCACCTCATAACAATGGATATAAACAAATATTTATGCACTTACAACCCCGGCTATCAATCTCGCAACTATGACGAAAATAACTTCCACCTCATTATAAAACATAATCAGGAATACTTTCAAAACTCTTACTTAATTAGATCAGCAAAACTTTGGAACAGCCTACCAACTGAAATTAAGAAATCCAGTAGTTTATGTTCGTTTAAAACTCGTTTAAATAACTTATATAGTATCAAGTCAAAATCATACAAACTTCCTAATAACCGTAGCTAATATTTAGTTTTGTGAAGAAAATGTTT